GCGTGCGTGCGTGCGTGCGTGCGTGCGTGCGTGCGTGCGTGCGTGCGTGCGTGCGTGCGTGCGTGCGTGCGTGCGTGCGTGCGTGCGTGCGTGTGTGTCTGTATCTACCATAACCCATGAACTGATACAAATAGAAACACCAAATTTTATACTTAAGCTTTATTTGGTCGTTCAATGAACTGATTTGATTTTGGGCAGGTCGTTTTTATATTTTATGGAATATATCTGTTATGTTTGGAGAAGAGAATTGTTCAAATAAAAGTTACTTTCAATATTATTATCTATAATTTTTGTTTTATGTAAAATTTTCCTAAAATGGTCCGTATTCGAGAAATTTGACAAAATGTGCCAAATTCTGATTTTTAAGAAAATTGTTGAACTAAAAGTTGTTTGCGATATCGATCTCTATAATTTTTGTTTATACATGATTTTTTTAAAATGGTCCGTAGTGGAAAAATTGGAGAAATTTAAATTTTTAAGTATTTTCGGTTTCAATGAATATAGAAAAATGTTTCGAGGTAGATGTATGTGGAAAATGTATATATTTAGTTTATCCTCTAAACATTTATAGAGGTGCTGCAATAGGTTGTACAAAATAACCGGAAAAAGCCTATAATAACTAGATAGAAAAGTCATGTGTTGGACACATCAGATTTTTTAAATAAAAATTAAAAATGAATATTAAATTTTATCAATTTGCAGATATCAATTTTTGGAAAACTGGAGTTTGTAGCTGATTTTTTCTATTTTTTTTTCTTTTTACAAGTTTTTGCTAAATTTAAAAACTAATTGAGACACATATAATTCAATCGAAGCCAAATTTTTTGAAGGAAAGAGAATTAATTTTGTGAAAGGAGGATATAATGTTCGGTGTACAGCTTCAGCTATTTCTTTTAATAAAAAAGAGAACTATATTCCCACTCTTTATAAAAATCTGTCAAAAAGTGTTGTTGGGATTTACACACAAAGATTGGTTACTTAAATAAGCAAACGTAGATGTAGTAGAAAAGCCAGATGCCCTCAAATAAGAAAACACAAAAGTGACGCCCTAAAGATAGGGACTACGGACTTCAATGCGTTGATGATGACGATGTTTCGGAACAAAAAAACTGCAATTTTTGGATAGTTTACCAAAAGCAATAGATGATGTTTGTAAAATTGAAGTATCTACTAGAGGTTAGACCAGTAATGATCTGTGGCAGGAACATCGTAGTAATATGCTCACGGCTTCAAATTTTGGAACTGTTTGCCGTTTAAAAAAGTTCTATATGATCCAAAACTTAAAATTTAACTATCAGATATCACTTTTTTAAGCCTTATGAGAGGTTTGTCAAAAAATATGAATTTTACTCACGAGTAAAGTACTTTATTTTTTAATATACAGAAGAATGTTATAAAGTAAAGTTATTTTGAATTAAAAGTTATATTAAAATATTCAATTACAATTACTTGGCATAAAAATTAAGTTTAATTGATTATTTACGTTTTAAATTATAAATGATTTGAAATTATAAATTAAATAATCACCAAACCTGTATTTTATTGCTAAATGGCTATAATTGCATATTTAAATATAACTTTTAATTCAAAATAATTTTACTTTATAACATTCTTCTGTATTGTAAAAAATAAAGGTACTTTACTCTTGAGTACAATTCATATTTTTTGACAAACCTCGTATACGGCTAAAAAAAAATTGATATCTGCTGGTTGGATTTCAAATTTTAAACCAAGTAGAAATTTTTGTTATAAATACATTTTTTCCCAAAACCACTAATAAAAAAGTTTTCAATATGGCTCCAGTTTAAGAAGACACACTGTATGATAGTGCATGTGATAAGCTACAGTTGTTTTTTGTTGAAAACCGTCTTTGTTAACTCCGAAAGTTCTGACATAAATTCTACTCCTCCTCCCCCCTCACGCTTGTCATGGTAACGACTAAACAAAAACCCAAATCATGTGAAGAAACGCGTAGTTGTCAAGTTATAGATTATTAAATTTAATTTAGCTGAAATCAGTTACGGACAAACTGTTGCCATAGGGATACTTATCATGGTAACAAGTAAACGAAAACTCAAATCATGGTGAGGAAATGCATAGTTGCCAATTTATAGATGATTTAATGTAACTATAGTTTAGCTGAAATCAGTTACGAAGAAACTGTTGCTATAGAGAGTTGTCATAGTAACGACTAAACAAAAAATTCACATTGTGGTAAGGAAATGCATAGTTGCTAACTTATATATGATTTAATTGAACTTCAGCTAAAATCAGTTACGGAACAACTGTTGCCATAGAGACACTTAACAACTAAAAAAAATCTCAAATCTCGAATTGAAAAAATGCATAGTTACCAAATTATAGATGATATAATCAAACTCTCGTTTAGCTGAAAGGAATTTTTCGTGCAAGCCTTCTACATATTACTTTCTTCGACAGCATCATATGATATACCGGGATACTATAATTGTTTTTATATTCTAAGAAGTAATAATTACTATTATTTGCCCGTAATAAGCACGATGATAATTCGGAACGGACAAGTAATTGAGATGAGTCGTAATGAAGAGAAATGTTCTCCTTAAAATTATGTTTCAATTGTTATATTACTTATCCTTATTGGTTGTGGGGCAAAGTCCCATACATTTCTGCTCATTGTCCTTTGGCCAGCCCGCGTTTTAGGTGGAGATGCATAACGAGAAAGATAGGCATCCCATTAGACTGAACGGAGAAAGATAGTATCATTACACGTACAATTGTCTTTACATAACCAAAAAGAGGGTTGCGTACAGAGATATTCTATGAAATGGATCAGGTACCTCTCAACGGAACGGAAAGCGGTAGAACAGCCTTAATGTAAAAACGCTATTTTAAACTTCATTTAACACAACGATGGAATCGGCCCTAAGTCGTTCCCAGTATTTATTGACTGATTTTTTTTTTAGAAAAATCCCGTGACACTTGATTACACTCTCAGTCTAATTTAGTGAGGCAGTTCATTGTTGATTATATTTATTTGGTGTATTTTAGAAGAAAATCAAATTTTTAGAGCAATCCAAACTGTTTTACAAAAAACTTGATGAATAATATTCAACTAAAAATTTAAAAAAAAAACTTTGAAATAGAGCAGAATAGAGCAAAACTAAAATATATAAAAAAAACAGAAATTTGGATAAAATTTTTTGCAGATAGCAGTAGCGATTTCACTGGCAAAACAAACTCCAGGAAAAAACAAGAAGACAATATTACTTGTTATCTTTATATATAATAGCGGGCCATTTAAAAAAAAATTACAAGGGCCATTTTTCCTAAGAAAGGTGCCTCGTCCTTTTATAAATCGCAACATAAACAATATTTTAAATGTGACTTTACTTTGATAAATTTTAATTTGCTAGTGCATTTTTTTGTATTTGCTAATAAATTTGTTATAGTCCAGTAACTGAAGACCTGAAAATATGCAAAGCTGTCATTAAGTCGGTCCAGATTTCCTTTGTGGCTCAATTCTTAGGTCTTGACGGTTGCTTTCAAGGATGGAAACTTTTACCAACTCTGCTGCGTCGGAAAGGGCCTAAAATGGACCCTAAAACTGGTTTCCAGCCAATATCTTCCACAATATGCAAATTAGAGAATATTTGTTTAAATAAAAAAGAAAGATCTTATCATTATCTACAAAAATGGTCCCTATCATTTTTGTCGGGAATTCGACAGGTTTTGGGATAACCGCAATCAAAAGTCCCCTCGTTCAGCCCCTGCTTTATCTCTATAGCAATGCTGATTAGCTTGTAAACGGGTAAACAAATTGTTTCAGAACTCGGTCAAAAATTGATATTTTTCGATGATTCAAAGTTCATTACAATGGGAAAACCCATAGGTATCGATCCATGTGCCTTGAAGCCCGTTTTTTTTGTCAAGAACATTGAAAAAGGGATCAAAGTTGCGTTTTCCACTATTTTGGACCACTTTATAGTAATTCATTCAAATTTTTTTTTTAATAGTTTTTTATCCCATTTTTGTTTTAAATGATTTTTTTTTAGTATCTTCCTGGCGTTTTAAAACAAAATTGATTTGTGTATTTGCATTTTTCATACGTTTTCGGAGTTCTAGAAATCTTTGAAACAAGCAGTAATTAAAAACTCATATTTCATTATATTGTTATTCAATGCACACCATTTAAAAAAAAAACATTCGAAAAGTAGACACTCTAAGCTTTAAAATGGTGTGCATTGAATAACAATATAATGAAATATGAGTTTTTAATTACTGCTTGTTTCAAAGATTTCTAGAACTCCGAAAACGTATGAAAAATGCAAATAAACAAATCAATTTTGTTTTAAAACGCCAGGAAGATACTAAAAAAAAATTTCTCAGATCATTCGAGACATCTCAAGATCCCATTTAAAACAAAAATGGGATAAAAAACTATTAAAAGAAAAAAAAATATGAATGAATTACTATAAATTGGTCCAAAATAGTGGGGAAAACGCAACTTTGACCCCTTTTTCAATGTTCTTGACAGAAAATAACGGACTTTAAGGCACATGGATCGATAGCTATGGGTTTTCCCATTGTAATGAACTTTGAATCATCGAAAAATATCAATTTTTGACCGAGTTCTGAAACAATTTGTCCACCCGTTTACAAGCTAATCAGCATTGCTATAGAGATAAAGCAGGGGCTGAACGAGGGGACTTTTGATTGCGTATATCTCGAAACCTGTCGAATTCCCGACAAAAATGAAAGGGACCATTTTTGTAGATAATGATAAGATCTTTCTTTTTTATTTATTTAAAAAAATTTTAATTTGCATATTGTGGAAGATATTGGCGGGAAACCAGTTTTAAGGTCCATTTTGGGCCCTTTTCGACGCAGCAGAGTTGGTAAAAGTTTTCGACCTTAGAAGCGACCGCCGAGACCTAAGAGTTGAGCCACAACGGAAATCTGGACCGACTTAATGACAGGTTGGTCCCTTCAGTCACCGAACTATTAGAGTAAATACATACCTCCTTTCTCCTGTAAAGCTGTTGGTATATCCCAATGGTATATTGTAACAAAAGATCTAATGCCTTTTGCCTTTAATTCCTTAAAAATGTTCTTGTAATAATCTATACCAGCTTGATTGATATTGTTAAGAGTTCCATCTGGCAAAATTCTGGACCAAGCTAAAGAAAATCTAAAAGAAACAATTTATCGCACAAATGAGTTATAATAGTACCTATTTAGTAAAATTTAACAATTTTTTGTTATGCGAAATTAAAGAACGATGAAAGTACAAGAATTACTCAATTTCGTATCTACTTGCCTGTAAAAAACAACTCCAACTTCATTCATACAACGAATATCTTCTTTATATAGATGATAAGAATCTGTTGCCACATCACCGTTGCTACCATCATCAACTTTTTCTGGATGTTCATGGAAAAAAGTGTCCCAAATTTGAGGTCCTTTTCCATCAAGATTCCAAGCACCTTCTATTTGATGAGCAGCTGTAGCTACTCCAAATCGAAAATCATCAGGGAAACGACGATTCGTTACGGTGTAATTGGCGAATTCATCGTCCCCGTCTGCAGCTCTAAAAAGTATTTAATTCAAAATAAATATATTTGACTCCTGGAAAGACCGGATATTTGTTTTTACTTGTAGATAGTAATTATTTTAGATTTTTTTAATCGACTTCAAAAAAGGTTGAGGTTCTCAATTCGTCTGGGGATATATATTTTTTTAAGTTTGTTCAGCGATAATTCTTTACTACGTTGTCCGATTTCTATGATTACTTTTTTTGTTAGAAAAGGGATACCTTAGAGGTAATTCTATATACGATTGGTCAGGATCAGATGATCTTAATTTTTAAGGGAATCTGCGCGATTTTGAAATCGGTTTTTTAAAATAACTTTCATAACTTGTTTAATTTGATGGTGCTTCCTGTATCTGTAACGTGTGGGTGGTGGGTTACCCCCACGGCACTTGGGCCTCATTAGGCCCATTGCGCATTCTCCTAAAATGATAGGTACCTCCTAGCTCGTGAGCCAGCCTACAGATTTAATGTAGTTGACAACGTCGCCAAGAGGTGCTTCTCTTATATCGGCCGGTGTTAGCCGATACTCGCCGAACACATATCTTCTAATAAATGAGAGCGTCGAGCAATCGTTAAGGATATGCTCGATGGTCGCATCTTCTTGTTTGCACCCGCTGCAGAGTGCGGATTCTGACAACCCCATAATATGGAGATACTTCCATACTTGGCAATGACCAGTCAGAATGCCAGGCGCAGATTCTGTCTAGACATAGTCAAGTATTTTTTGCTGCAGTGTTCTAAGGATAACTTAAGAGCTCCCTGGAAACTCTGCAGTTTCTTGTTTCATCCCATCTTTCCTTGAATTTTGCAAGGGAATATTCTTTAATTAGATCTGTCATTACCGATTTTATCAGGCCAATAGAAGGGCTAGGTCCAAAAAGTATTTGGTTGGCTGCTTTCTTGGCTAGTGAATCGGCAAGACGGTTACCTTTTGATGTGGCGTGACCGTTGATCCATCTTAAGGTAACCACATTGTTGATGGATACTTCGGCCAAAGCTTTGTGACATTCTAGTACTAACCCTGAATAAATTCGTGGTCTGTTCAGGGTGAGTAATGCTTGTCTGCTATCTGTATAGATGAGCATGTTCCTTTCAGTAATATTGTTCCTGGTTATTTCTTTTGCTGCTATGGGAATCCCCGTTAGCTCTGCTTGAACTACACTGGCACTATTGCTCATAGCCCATTTTAGGTTTAGGTTTAAGAATCTGGAGAATATTCCACATCCTGAGCCTTGCTTTGTTTTAGAACCGTCGGTGTAGATATGAATCGTACCTGCCACTTTTGGCTCTTCTATTTGTTCTATTATAACTTTATATGGCTTATGGAAGATATATCTCGTTGAAATGGAGTCCATGTTCGCTTGAAGCAGTGGGAGCGTATCGAGCACCTCCTGTCAAAAGAGACGTCTCGCCTCACCGGATTCTACATCAGGTTCTATTTCAACCATACGGAGGCGTGTCATTGTCGTCAGAGCAACCTTTTTGATGTAAATATCAAGGGGAGTGAGAGTAAGAATGACTTCCATCGCTCTGGTCGGTATTGTTTTTATGGCTCCTGTTATATTGAGACAAGCTGTTCTTTGAATTTGTTCTAGTTTACGGATAGCTGTTAATTTTTGGTTGATGGTGCTTCATTAAAAATAAACTTTTTAAAGTAAAGTTAATGATAACTCTGTAACCCTTTCGCTGCCCAAGCTTTAATGCTAAATACACGCTATAGACCGTTGGTATACGAACATTTAGAAGTTGGAACGTTCATTAACGTCATGGGCCATTCACAATCGAACTATAAAATATTTATACTGGAAATAGCTATTATGTATACAGGTTAATTATTTTACGGTCAGAATTTAACTCAAAGAGAGAAAAGAAGACCTATAGAGGATGTGAAGTACTGATGTCAAAGAAGTATATAAGCTTGCCGCTGGCTGACGGTGAACCTATATATTCACTTATCGGTCACCGTAGTCAAGCACTTCTTGGATGAGTGATCCGAGACTATAAGTTCTCGGGAGCCCATCTAGGGAGTGGAATGAAAGAAACAGAAGAAGTATGATATTCAAATGGTGGTACAATTAGCCAATGAAGCTACAGTATCACCATGCTAATATTATCCTGTAGGGGAGTCAGGAACAATCAAGAGTGGTTCAAAAGGATGCCTGAAAAGTTTAAAAAAAGACGTATAAGCCTTGTCGTAGTTTTATAGAGGTTGTCCCATTAGTGCGTAATTGCAATTTCAATTTCTGTTCTAGACACGCAAACATGTTCCGAATAAAGGTTATATGGATTTAAAAAACATAACTTAACTTAAAAATATTTTTAGATATACAAGGTGTTACGCTTTTGCCTGAAAAATAAAAATATGTTTTTAAATGAAAAACCCTGTATTTTATTTTAGTTTTAGAGTGACATGGTAGTAACCCTAGAATATCTAAAAATTTATATTTTACAGAGTTGCGAAGAAATTAATTTTTTTGTGAAATTAGAGATTGAAACAGACCCAAAATAAAATTATCATATTGTCATGGGAATTCCTAAGCCGTGATTTAAAAGTGACCGAGCTACGTCGAGAGTTAGAAGAACGTGAACTGGAGACGACAGGAAAGAAATTAAAGAAATTATAGCAGATGCATCATACGAAAATAGAAAGGTTTCCGGATCTAACCCTTCATTTGCTAGTAGCTCGGTCACTTTTAAATCACACAGTCTTTTAACCACTTAAGTCCACTATTTATTTATAGTTCCACTTCTAACACAAATGTTACCACAGTTTAATTTATTTATAGTTTATTTAAAACAAACTATTTACACTGGTGACGCCAGGCCGATCCGTCAATCAGTTCGAAGATTAACAAAGACCAAGAGAGAGGGAGCTAAAAGGATTGTTCAGGAAATGAAGGAAGACAGGGTGATAGAACCTTCTACCAGCCCATGGGCCTCTCCGGTAATCCTTTTCCAGAAAAGGATAAAACTACGAAGTTCTGTGTGGATTACCGTTAGTTGAACAATGTTACCAAGAAAGACAGTTACCCTCTGCCTCGTATTGACGATACCTTGGACACATCGGCCACAAATAAACTATTCTCTACCTTAGACTTGAAGTCTGGATACTGGCAACTTAAAATGGACCCAGTAGACAAAGAAAAGACAGCTTTTACCACCGGATCTGGATTGCGGCAATTCAATGTTATGCTATTTGGATTATGTAATGCTCCCGCGACATTTGAAAGACTTATGGAAAATGTATTGAGAGGGATATCCTAGAAAACATGCCTAGTGTATTCAGACGACCTCATAGTATTCAGGAAGACATTTGATGATCATCTAAAAAACTAAGAAGATGTTTTTAAAAGACTTCAAGCTGCCCAACTGATGCTAAACCCCAAGAATTGCCAATTATTTTAAAATAAAGTTAATTACCTGGGTCATGTAGAGCAAAGACAAGGAAAAAGTCGCTTCTATCAAAGAGTGGCCACAACCAAAAGATAAACACCAAATTAGAAGTTTTCTTGGGCTTTGTACCTACTACCGAAGATTCATCAGAAAGTTTGCAGATATTACTAAGCCATTAACACGACTCACAGAAGAATCGAGAGACTTCTGCTGGGATGACGACTGACAAACTGCCTTTGAAATACTAAAGAACAACAGCGGCAATACTAGGCTGACCACTATCAAAGAGAGAAATTATTCTGGATACTGATGCCAGTAATGTGGGATTTGGAGGAGTGCTTTCACAGATTCAAGGGGAAAAAGAACGAGTACTGGGTTATTTTAGTAAAGTGCTCTCGAAACCTGAGCGAAATTACTGCGTCACAAAAAGAGAACTCCTAGCAGTTGTAAAATGCGTGGAACACTTCTACCAATACCTATATGGTGAGAAATTCTTAATCCGTACCGATTATGTCGCCCTTAAGTGGTTAATGCAGTTAAAAACCCGGATGGTCAAATCGCCAGATAGATTGAACGACTTTAAGAGTACGACTTTAAGATCGAACATAAAGCTGGAATAGGCCACAGAAATGCCAATTCTCTTTCTAGAAGACCGTATCTAGCAGAGTGCTCCCCACTGCAACAAAGCGGAATCCAAAGAAAGTGGACTAATAAGAACAACTGTAGTCAACGATTAGTGGGCCCCTTCTAAAATTAGGGAAGAACAAGAGAACGATACCCTTTTAAAGAAGATGCGACAATGGAAAGAAGAAAATCGTCGAACTACTTGGCAAGAAGTATCTAATCTCTCTCCAGTACTTAAATCATTTTTGGCTCTGTGGGACTCTTTTATACTGGAAGATGGCTTATTAAAGCAAGTACTTGAAAATGATGATGGTTGCGAGAACAGAAAACAGTTGTCCATTCCAAGGAGTAGAGTATCCGAAGATCCGAAGATCCACAGTGACCAAGGCAGACATTTTGAAAGCCAACTCTTCCGTGTAATCTCTGACAGACTAGGCATGAAGAAAACCAGAACCACAACACTGCATCCACAATCCGATGGAAGTTTCAAACCATCAGCGAGATTGGGATCAGTATCTTTCGCTCTTTGCAATAGCTTATAAATCCGCTGTCAATGAATCAACAGGCCAAACACCAGCAAAGGTCCTGTTTGGGCGTAAGATGAAACTACCATGCGACCTTGAGATTAAATGCCGACCTGAAGAAGATGCAGCTGGTGAGGATTATGTGATCCAGTTACAAAGAAGAATGGACAATATGCATGAATTGGTCCGCTCGCATCTTCAAATCGCCAGCGACAGAATGAAGAAGCGATACGATACCCAAACCACAGAAGGATGTTTCAAGGAAGGCAACAAAGTCTGGCTCCATAACCCAAAAAGACAAAAGGGTTATTCTCTAAAGCTTCAAAGGTCCGGGGAATTCCTAAACCGTCTCTGTCTAAGCAAGCGACTTTCAAGTCTGTGCCACCCGACTCATGTTCGAAACGACGGAATCTTCTGGGTATGCCGCTGACACTTCGAGAAACTGCTAGAACGGGC